TATATATATATATATATATATATATATATTATAATTAAATCTTTTAAGAAAATTGATTTGTTATTAAAGAGTATTTTTTATCACATAAGAGAATTAATCTTCTTCAAAAATTTGACAGACATCAAATAAATAAATCTCTTCTACGAATCTATATTTTATACATATAATAATTTAAACATATAAATTTATTTTATTGAAATATAATTTTTATTTTTAAAATATTTTTTAAAAATAAAAATTATGTATGTGTGAAATAGTAGTGGGGGCAAGGGCCCCACTGGTCTCAACGTGGATCCGTCACTGTTTATAGTTACTGATAATTTATTCTAAAATATTAATATTTAATCCGTAAATAAGTATGATAACTAAAAATCGAATTAGATAAGAAGTTAAAAAAATCTTTACAAACCCTCTCAATGAAGAAAAATTCACAAAAACACTCACATACAAGATAGAAGTTCATGTTTAATATATAGGGGTTAATTTCTAGGTCTAATTATTGTTTTAGATTATCTAATCTTTGGTCTAGTCATGTTCTAGTTTTTTTTTTTGTATTAATGGACTAAAACATTATATAGATTTGGGAGATAAGCATTTGCAAAAATATGGATAATCTTATAAGTGTCAAAGTGAGTCTAATTCAGTGGGTCAACCTAACTCACCACGAGTTTGGACTAAGTCGGGTTAGAAAAAAAATGTATTGATTTGGACTAAATTTCAACTCAAATCATTGAACCCGTCAGTTAAATGGGTTCCAGTTGAGGTGAGTCAAGTTGGTCGATTTAACCGACTAAAATAAAAAAAAATTATGTTTATGTTTTTATGTGATTGTCATTTAAATTTTTTATTATTAATATTCTATTTTTTATTTATATTTGAATCAATAATAAACTTGATTTCTTGATAGAAAAATTACAACTCTTTATCTTATTTATTATAAAAAAAAAGGTACTTGTGATTAATAATTTTTTTTTATTTTAATAAATTTGGTGAGTCGCCCCACCTAATCCATCAATAAATGGTAGGTTGAGCTAAGTTGAGATTTTCCTATCTCTCTAAAAATGACACGAGTTGGATTGATTTGTTTAAAACACTAATCATGGTGAATCAACTTGTATAAGTTGAGTTGACTCACTTTGACACTTCATAATGATTTTGATGATGAAGTGAAACATTTTATCTATTTTGTACTTTTTAAAATTTATAATATATAATTATAAATTAATCGAATTCAATATTTATGTTTTGACAAGTGTTGGAGAAAATAAGAGTAAGCTTAAGTTTATTAAGAGCTTTTGTTAAAGTTTCAAATATTAATTTTAATAATTGTTATGTTGGATATTTGTCTTTGTAATGCATGTTTATTTATTACTTGAGCTTCTTCTTCTTCTTTTTTTTATTTTTTATACTGTTATTACTTGAGTTTGAAAACACCAATGTTTTATTTGCTTGTTTTTATATTTTGTGTTTGTTTTTAAGATTATGTTTAAATTATTTAAGAATGAATTGTTAATATAATTGTAATAATTGTGTTAATTATTTTTTTATTGGTTTATTAACATTAACCTTGTATAAATAAATTGTGGGTTGTAGACTAATAAGTAGGGTCGGTCTTGACATTTTGTGTACTTAAAGTGGTATAGTAGATAAGATCTCCTTATATATAAATATTTTCAAATTTAAATATGTATTATATATATAAAAAAAATAAACATGTAATTTTAATAAATAAATTTTTTTTACACGATGTAAACAAGATTTTAACAAATCTTTAAAAATATGTATTATTTTTTTAATAAATACCTATATTATTTTTTATCATCAACAAAATACATTCTCTCAAATTTCAACAGTGTCCATCTCTTACAAAATAAAACACACAATTTATCATAAAGATATCTTATAATTTGGTACATGAAAAGTGTAATCCTTTTTTAAGTTTTATGTCTTTTATATAAAAAAAAATATTGTATTTGCTATCACAAATTTAGAAAATGATGAAATTTTCTTTAATGTTTTAGAAAAAACCTAAAGGTTTAATTTATTAAAAATTTATAAATTGTGGTTAATTAATTAAAAATTGAACAAGAGAAAAAAATAACATTGAAAGTGATTTTTGTTTTGAAAAATTAGAGATGTATTTTTATTTTTGGGTCCTTGCTAATGATAAGCCTAGGAAAATTGTCCCTCTTTCCAATCTTTACTGTCAGCCCTATCAACATATCGTTGGCCCAAATAGTATTGGACTCGATCTTCTTAAATAAGATTTCAAATTTAAATTTTGTATATAAAAAAAAATTGTTAGAAGATAAAACTCAACTAAAAGTGATTAATTAAATTCTTCAACAAAAATTAATAATCAACGAAACCAATAAATATTTTATATCAATAATATAAATATTAACCTTATTAATCATACAATATAAAACTAAACAAACATTATTTTTAAACATAAACAAACCAAACAAATACTATAAAATCCTTCTCGGACTCCTCGTTAACCAACCTTGCCAACGTTGATATATACTCTTGAACCTTTTTGGGAATTGGTTGTGATCCTATGTAATGTAGTAATGTAGGCAGCAATTGTTGCCATTACATTGAAAAGTGGCAACCTTGAGTGTTACGTCCCTGGATAGTATAAGAGACATACATAAGTAAGACTTAGGTTACAACCATAATTGTCAAACCAAACATGATAATTATTATTATTTATAAATCCTTGACATTCTACACAAATTTTACCTAGTGACATTTTCTAAAATGGAATTAATCATAATTTCATATCCTAATATAGGCACTATGAATGATGTTAGTTCATAATATTTTTTATACAAACCATATTTTGTTTTAGTCATATAAAATTATTATCGATGACAAAAATTTCCTTTCAAATATTTAACACAATTATATACTTAAAATTCAAACTCAAAATTATTAACAAAACTGAAACAATTCTATATCAATTAATCATCATACTCATAAAATTGGTTTATGATATTAAAATAAAGTAATTAGTCTTGATTAGTTTTGTGTAACTAACTTCTCCTTTGACATCGAGAAAAGATCATTTTTAACGTTAACAATTAATTAATTTTATTCTTTTTTTAGATGACCAATTAATTTAATTCATAATTAGTATTTGTGCAATATACAAATGATTTTTAATTTATATAATATAAATTTATAATTAATAACTTTTTTAAATATATAATTTATATGATAATTAAATTTTATAATAAAAAATGTTTTCATTATATAATTATGTTTTAAATTTATAATAAATAATTTATATTTAGATTCAAGATTATTTGTAATTAACTTTTGTTAAGATCTTGTAAATTTAAATGTTGAAATTTAATTTAAAATAAAATAAAATAATAAAAAAAAATGAAATTGGTAAAAAAAATATCCTAAAGACACACATACAAAAAACACTCATTAAAAAATAATCCCTAAAACACTTTCAGGTAAGACAGTTATTCTAATTTACATAAAAAGAATTCAAATGTACCAATTAATTTAGTCCCTCGCCTTAAAGATCAAATTAACTAAAAGTAGTTAAATTTCAAAAAAGACTAAATTGACTGATTTATAATGTAAGAAATTAATTTGACTAGTGCAAATTTCAGGAATCCAATTGATTACAATTATCAATATCAAGAACCAAATTTGCTTTTATATAATGTCATGGATTAAACTAATAAAGGAAAGCCGATTTCAGGACGAAATTGACGTTTTAATCGATCAAAATATTACTGAATCGCATTTCAGTTTCTCTTTAACCAGACAAATATATCGCATTGTACCATTCTCAACAAGTACAATCTACTAGTGAAGGGCACAAAATTCACTATTCGCTAAGGTTGCAAACTCGAAGATACGGATTATCGAACATAACATATCTGGACCAGTACGATTTATATTTGGAAACAGCAAGATTCAACCACGGCTTGTAGTTTCCATTGTAGTGAATGACAGCGGCATTTTCTATCTCTGTTAGGTTCAGAGCTGGGTCATAGCCAAGTCCCAAAACATGCCAGCCTCGATCTAACGGATAGGTCAGATTATAAAAGGTGATTAATCCCGGGGGTAAGGTCCCAAGCTTCCAGAGGGTTCTATCCTCATTCTGCAACCGATTATTTCTACATCAGATAAGACACTACTATCTACATGCACAAAACACTAAACATGGCTTTACGGTATTTGGAATTTGGGATGATACACACATAGTAATCTTCAGGTAACCAATTTCATAAAATGATATTCAGATGAATATAGAAGTTGAAAATATTAAGATATCTTTGGGTAACTACCAAATAAGGAATAAGATTAGTAAATTTTACCATATCTTGCCACCGATGATAGATACCAGTGATGTTTCGTTTCTTCCACTCCTTCAAGTCAAAAATATTCATACCAAATGCCCAGCCACACGCCTCAGGACTGAAGTTATTGGAAATCAGTGGATTACTAAAGTTTAGGTATTTATCAAACCTATGGAAGCTCTCCTTGCATGTCTCTACAGCACCATTCACCATACCTTTCAAATCAATTGACCAAAGAGGTGTCAAATCTTTCTGCACTACAATGTCATCATCCAAGAATAGAATTCTGTTTAATTTTGGATAAACTTCAGGAAGGTAGAACCTTAGGTGATTTAGCATTGACAAATATTTAGGATTTCTATATTTTAGATTGTCAGAACCAACAGAGAGGGAGGAAGGATGATTAGCTTTAAAGTAATATTCCTTTATTCTTGCCGATTCAAGTTGACGTAGAACTGAACAATATGAGGAATTCAGCCACTTGAAATCATCAATATTCTGAACTTCAATGGTTGCTTTAGAAGGAGGGTTGACGAGAAACCACATTCTCATTGATGCAAAATTCAGTTTATCCGTCACTATATGGAAAACATGCTTCTCAGGTTCCTTTGCATTCTGCACAGTAGAATTAACAACCACAGATGTAGCCAATACATTATCAGAAAAGATAGCATAGTGGTAAAGAGATGGATCTTCAGCCTTTTCTTTGTCAAGATTTCCTTTCTTATGATAGCCCTGCAGGTAATAATCCGCTGCAAGTTGTAGGGGAAGGCAATGCAATGGTCTAGGCACAGTTTTTGCAGCCAGCTGAATCAAGAATGCACTTCTTTTCTTCTGTATATTCACTCTATCTTCGGTTGATTGAAGCATCACCCTGAACTTCCTTGCCACCAAAAGGCAGTCATAAAGTTGGTCCTTTGCTATGGAAAGAACATGACCCATAGATTTTGCTCGATCAAGTGCTCTAGCAAATGCAATAAATAGAAACCTTGCATGAAAACTGAAAAAACCTGATAAGCCAGAGAAACAAGACCAAAGAAATACAAAAATACCCAAGGTGAAGCTCGATATCAGAACTGGCTTCTCCTATAGCTTGTTGACTATCTCTGGAGTGTTTGACAAGAGCTTCGTATAGAACAGTTTTGTTCTTGGACTTTGCAATGTTGGCATATGCTTTGGCCATTATTATTTGATCTCGCATGAGTTTCAGAGTTGAATCAGAATTTGGGTTTTCATATTCTCTCCTCCATATACTATACTTTCCCTTGATAGTGGTATCAAATCCTTCAGAGCGTTCAATTGCTGCTGATACAATGTGATTGTCGGTTTCTTTGTCTTCTTGAATAAGTTCCGATGCACGAGCTTTCCGTCTTTCTTGCCGCATTATCTAAGATATTAAAAAGAAAAACAAATGAACAGGGAGCACAGAAAATGAAACAAACACTCTTCAGCTTATCTCTATCCCTGGTGAGGTTAGCCATTATTTTTCTGAGGGGACCAATCACAATGACACAATATTCAAGGAACCAAACATGAAGAAAAAGTGTTAAAAAAAAATGTGATCAAATTTTAAAGAGACACTACAAGTAAAATTATAAAATTTGACTATAAAACAATATAACAATTTATATATTATTAGTATGAGAAGTGCCATCCCAGTCCCTATTATTTTTGTTTGGTTAAGTAGTGAAAGACAAATTTAGATAATTACCTGACGCTTGATCTTCATTGGCGTCATTGATGAGGAACGGGGAATGTCAATTTTGTTTTCTTCAGGATAATGTTCATCTGTGGAGTGCTTGCCATTGTCTTCAAATCTTGAGTCAGTTTGAAATGATTCCATCAATTCCTGGATAATGAATATTGACATGCAGTGAGTGATCATAAAATTAAATGTATTGTAATAGTTTGTTGAGGGGTAAATCATATGCAAGAAGGATCGAAGAGGGGAGCAAAACACAAAGTACATAACAACAACAAAGTTTCATCCCACTAAGTGAGGTTGACTATATGGATTGCATAATGATATTCAGCTCCGTCAAAACCAAAGCTTCAGGAATATAAAATCTCTCTTGACAACTGTATGTGAATGTATTGAAAAAGAGCAGTTACTAAACTGACTTGGGTGTGTTAATTAGTTAGTTAATTAGTTTTGATCAGTTAGTTAGAACTGTCATCATGACAGCTTATGCTATATATTGTGGTTCTGCTCCACTATCATTGTGTGATATTCAGTTGTAATAAAATCAGTTACAGAAACTATATTCAGTTTCTTTCTCTCTCTTTTGTTTCTCTCTTTTTTAACATGGTATCTATCTACAGTGGCCGAATCATCTCTACTACACTCTTCCTCTGCACCAATCACGTTTGCACACACAAGATGAATTTCCTCATATGGCGTCAACAAGTTGAACCCTGGCCCTAATTCTCATCTTTAAACCAAACCTACAAATTAGCCAAATTACTTCTCACAAGAAATTGATACACAAATGAATGTGGGGAGAAACACCTATAATAGCCGTGGAGGTTGCTCGGACATGGTGGCGATGGAAGATACTCAAGCTTTCAATGTCAAGTCTACTATGAAATTGGTCATATTGCTGCATATTGTTATCATCAGTTTGATCAAAGTTATCAACATTCGATGTCCTATAATTTTCAAGGAAACTACTCTCAGAATCCTAGCTATTCATTCAACACTAATGCAGGATTACAAAATCAGTTTGGTCAACAACAACAGACCTCCATGGTCCATGGTCCCTAGCTTCAGCAATCAATGGAATTGGAACACCAAGCCTATTGCTCCTCAGCATCCAAGTGCCATGGTGACCAATACAAGTTCCACTACCAACATTACAAACTGGTTCCCAAATTCTAGTGCTTCATTTCATGTGACAGGAGAACAACAAAATATTCAGCAGATGAATCCTTTTGAAGGACCAAATCAGATATTCATTGTTAATGGTCAAGGTTTGCCTATTCATTCTTCTAGTTCATCTTTCTTTATCTCTCAAAATAATCCTAAAGTAACCTTAGCCCTACATAATCTTTTGCATGTTCCTCATATTACAAAAAATCTAATATGTGTTAACAAATTTGCCAAAGATAATTCTATAACTTTTGAATTTCACTATACTCATTGCTTGGTTAAATCTCAGGTCATCAATGAAGTGCTAGTGCAAGGCAATATGGGATCTAATTGTCTGTAGTGCTTGCCTAATCTACAGCTTCAAGCTTGGTCTGTAGTGCTTTCCTAATCTACAGCTTCAAGCTACTCCAAGCAACTCTTCAACATACTTAGTCTCTAATAATTCCAATACTGTAAATTTTGATGTTGATGAATTGAATAATTTGTTGATGAATTGAATAATGTCAAGACTAGATCTTATGTCTTATGGCATGCTCGGTTAGGTCATCCAAATTCTCAAGTTCAAAAGATTGTTTACAACAATGTAATATTCATGTTTTGAATAAAATTGATGCTTTCTTTTGTTTTGCTTGTTGCATAGGCAAAGCATATCGTTTGCCTTCTTCTTTATCTGAATCGATGTACAATAATCCCTTAGAATTAGTGTACACTTGTGGGGACCAGCCCCTATACAGTCCTCAAATAACTATAAATACTACCCAAGTTTTGTTGATGCTTACTCACGCTTTACATGGATCTATTTACTTCAAAACAAATATGACACCTTCACCATTTTTAAATAGTTTAAAACGATGGCTGAGTTACAATTTAATACTTCTCTAAAAAGTTTACAAGCTAATTGGGATGGTGAATTCAGGCCTTTATCCAAATACCTAAAAGATCTAGGTGTTAATCATAAGGTCATATGCCCTCACACTCATCATCAAAATGGGGTAATTGAGAGGAAATATAGACATATAATAGAGCTTGGCTTAACTCTTCTTAGCCATGCTTCTCTTGCACTAAAGTTCTGGGATTCGACTTTCACTCCTATTGTTTATCTCATCAATAGGCTTCCAATTGCTTCACTCAAGTTTGTTGTTCCATATACTGTTCTATTCAAACAGAACCCAGACTATAAATTTCTAAAAACTTTTGGTTGTGCATGTTTTCCTCTTCTCAGACCATATAGTAATCACAAACTAAATTTCAGATCACATAAGTGTATGTTTCTAGGGTACTCCACTTCTCACAAAGATATAAATGCCTTTCTCCTACTGGCAAAGTTTTTGTTTCCAAGGATGTAGTGTTTAATGAGTATCAGTTTCCTTACTGTTATTTCCCTCATCTATAAATCAATCATTAGAAATATCAAACCACTCTCAACTTGTGGTATCAACTTTCATTCCAATCACTCAACATTTGTCTCCACAAATCATTGTACACAATTCTAGTCCTTCCATTGTCCCAGTCAATTCCAGTCCTAGTCCTTCACTTGTTAACTCAGATTCATCTCTGTCCACAACTCCTACTCAGTCTTCCCCTCTTGTCCAATCACAATATTCATCCCATGCAAACCAGGTCCAAATCTAGTTTTTATCGGTCCAGGTTACATTCCTCTATTTTTCTAACTCAGTGTGAACCAAAGAATGTTAAACAAGCCTTGAAGGATCCTAAGTGACTTGAGGCCATTAAACAAGAATATTATGCTCTTCTTCGAAATAATACATGGACTCTTGTTCATTTGCCTCCTAACAGGAAAGCCATAGGCTGCAAACGGGTATCCAGAGTTAAAGAGAATCTTGAAGGGTCTGTGAACTAAAGCTAGATTAGTGGCTGAGGGTTTCATTAACAACCTGATTTTGACTTTAATGAAACCTTTTCACTAGTCATTAAACCAATTAATATCAAAATGATTCTCACTCTAGCTATCTCAAATCATTGGGATACTTGAATATTGAAGGAGATTGGTAAAAAAGTGTCTCCCTTACATTGATCTGTATATTTCTATTATATATATAGAGTGATGATGTTTAGAAAATACAAAAAGTTGAAGAGGCTAAAAAGCCTAAGCTATCACATCAAGAAAAATACAATAAAAAAGTACAACAAAACATTTAAATATTAAGAAGCTTTCTAAACAAGGTATTCTAATGCTCCCCCTCAAGTTGGTGCACACAAATTATATGCACCAAGCTTGGAACATAAAAATTGAATTCGAGGCCCCCTTAATGACCTAGTCATAACATCTGCAACTTGTTCACTGGAATTGACAAATTCAATAATGATTTCCTTGGACAACAACTCTCTCACAAAATTCTATGTGCTTGGTTCTCTCGTGAAATACTAAATTGGAAGCAATGTGAAGTGCGGCTTCATTATCACAATACAATTTTGTTGGATGATCCTCACAAAATCTTAACTCTTGAATAAGTTGCTTAATCCATACAAATTCACAAGTAATCAAGGCCATAGCTCGATATCCAGCTTCAGCACTAGATCGAACAACAACATTTTGTTTCTTACTCTTTCAAGAAATGAGATTTCCACCAAGGAATACACAATATCTAGTAGTAGAACGCCTATCTATAGGACAACCTGCTGAATCAACATCACAGTATCCAGAAATTCATCTATCTCCTTTGTCCTCATACAATAATCATTGTCTCGGAGCCTTTGTCTGCATGAACTGACTAACAATCCCTACTGCAAAAGAGAGATCAAGTCTTGTGATTGTAAGACAAATGAGTTTCCCAACCAATCTTCTATATCTCTCCGGATCTGAGAACGGTTCACCTTGATCAGCCATTAACTTATAGTTAGCATCTATAGGACTATCAATGGGCTTGCAACAAGTCATGCCTGTTTCCTCCAAGATGTCTAAAGCATACTTCCTTTGTGAGATCACAATGCCTTCCTTTCATTGGACGACCTCGATACCAAGAAAATATATTAGACGTCCCAGATTTTTGGTCTGAAAATGGCTAAACAAATGTTTCTTCAATTCAAAGATTGTAGCTACATTGTTCCCTATAATCACTATGTCATCCACAAACAATCAGATAAACACACCTTCTAGGAGAAGTATGACATAGAAAACTGAGTGGCCTGCTTCACTTCTTTTATGCCCAAAGTCCTGCAGTACAACATGATTAAATTTTCCAAACCAAGCCCGAGGAGATTTTTGAGGCCATAAAGAGACCTTCGCAATTTACAAACTAAACCAAACTCTCCCTGAGCAACAAATCCAGGAGGTTGAAACTAAAGTTCTATTCTTTTCCCACAAAGCAAATATATCGAGATCTTCTAGAAAGGACAAATATGCTTGAACCTAAAGTTATTTCATCACCTATGGTGTCATCATGCAAGTTATCTAAGCATGGTTCTAACACTCTAACTGATTCTATCTTCTAAAAGTTAGTTGTTGATAAAAAAGATATCAAGTCAACATTATGTTGTAACTGTTATAGTTTGTTATCTCAATGTCAATGAGTTGGCAATATAGTTGTTATTCTCTAAGTTAGTTTAATTGCCTTCTTTGCTTATATATAAATACTCTTGATTTGTGTTTCATAAGATAATAGATTCATATTCCAGATTCAATCCTTTCTCTTCTTTGATTGTTCTCTTACAGTTGGAGCACTTCAATATGCAACCATAACCAAACCTGAACTCAGTTTTGTTGTGAATAAGGTCCGCCAATTTAAGGCTAATCCTCTTGAAAGTCACTGGAATGTAGTCAAGAGAATTTTAAGATATCTCAAGGGTATGTTGTCCTATGGTCTACATCTTCAACTAGCAAGTATTCATCAGCCTTTTTCAATCCATGCCTTTAATGATGCTGACTAAGTACTTGATCCTGGTGACAAAAGTTCAACATCTAGTGCAGCGATTTTCCTTGGGCCTAATCTGATATCTTGGTGATCTAGAAAACAATCAGTTGTGGCCAGGTCTAGTACTAAAGTTGAGTAGAAAAGTCTAGTTCAGGCTACTGCTTATGGATTGAAACTCCAGTTCATGAAATGAGAGTCCCATTTTCCACTCCTACTATTTACTATGATAATATCTTGCTCACAATCCTATTCTACATGCGAGAACCAAGCATATGGAAATTAATCTTTTTCTTTGTTAGAGTAAAAGTTCTTGTCAAACAACTCACTGTTCAACACATCCCTGCACAAGAGCAATGGGTTGATGCTCTCCCTAAACCATTGTAGATTTTTAATTTTGAGAGACAAACTCAAAGTTGTTGAGTTTTCTTCTGCTACTCAACCAACTTAGGTTTGGGGGGGGGGGGGGG